ATGAGAATCATATACTGCAAATACGTATATCAGTTCATAACATGGAGTTTATATATAATACATTTTAGCAACTAACATACCCAAATAAAAGTGTTTAGCAACAATACAACATGCAACATATATATATAGATCAAAAAAAAAAATAAATAAATAAAAATAATAAAAAAAAAAAAAAAAGAGAAAATGTACACACATACACACAAAAATAAAACAATAGTATCAATGAAATGAATTGATCATACAAACAGCTCACAGTACAAACACAATGCCTACACATTACAATATACACAGATATATATACAGATAATAGAGTAATACACACTTACCAATTCACTTTCTTCAATCAGGATCCGTAGTCTGAACGAATGTAGCAGTTCTTAAACATCAAGCTCAATTCAATCTTTCACGAAATATTACCTCACAAGAAACACCAATTCTCCAATTCATCAATGAAATGTTAATTACTGTTTCACCGCCAAAACCTCCAATGTCTGATCGTGAACTGAGCCTCCATAAGCAGTTAGATCCTTCACACTTTAATGTTCAAACTCCAATTAATCTACAAGCTCTTCAGTTTCTTACAAAATCACACCCTAATCGCCTATTTATTGAGTATATTATCGATGGTATCAAAGAAGGTTTTAGATTCAATTTTAAAGGCGAACGATCCAGACTTATTCAAGACAACCTCCCTTCGATAAATATTGCCCCCGATGCATTTACAGCATACATCACAAATGAGTTAGCAAACAAACGTATCTGCGGCCCGTTTGATATTGACGACCCACCCTGCAACTCATTTCAAATCAATCTATGTGGCCTGGTTGAAAAGAGAAACACAAATCCCCAAGCCTATTGTGTAATCTCTCACCTGTCTTCTTCACCCTACAACAGCATCAATGACAAAATTGACAAGCTGGATTTTGCTACTAAATACGGAAATATAAATCATGCGATTCGCTGGATTAACAAATATGAAAAAGGTTGCACCTTATCAAAAATAGATATCAAAGATGTTTATCGCATCCTTCCTGTGCATCCTGTGGACCAAACATTGCAAGTTTTTCGAAACAGAAATGATCTATACTTTGACAAAGTACTGGCGTTCGGAAACCATGCCTCTAGAGGAATATTTTGCCATTTCACCAACCTTCTGATATGGGTAGCATGCCAACAGGGTATTCCTGCAATTATCCACTATGTAGACGATTTTCTGATAATATCACCTACAGACAGCAAATGCGAACTTTAGCAATTCATTTGTATCCTTGATGTTTTAAACATACCTTATAAATATGAGAAGATGGAAGACCCTTGACTAGTGTTACTTTTCTTGATATAACACTAGACACAGACACCCTACTTGCGTCAATACCAGCTGAAAAGCAAAGACAGCTAACAGCTCTAATATCTCAATAGCTATACAAAAAATGGTATTACCGAAAAGAATTGCAATCTATAGTAGGGTCATTGGTCTGGGTATGTTAGGTCATCCCATAAGGCCGTTCTCTTATTCAACACTTTATTAAAGCTCAGGAGATTTCAAAGAATCCAAAATTCCACTTTCGAATAACCAAACTGATGCAATCAGACCTTCAGTGGTGGATCTCAGTACTCAAAGAATAGCATGATATTCATTTACTACAGGATACAGAATGGACACAACCATCCACCCTCAATCTTTTCACAGACACATTAAACATCGGTGG